ATATTTAAAGAATTTGCCACTGATAATTCAAACGCGAGTTTTGGGCAGTGTAGAGTAGCGCTTGTTGTTTGTCATTTCTCCTATCACAAATGCAGACATGGTATTATGTTTACACGGCGCGGCGTGATGCAACACAATGCGTAAAAAGACAGTATAAGTCATTATATTCCATAATTATGTCCCCACTGGATGCAGCAAATGCCTCGTTTATAATGGGTTTTAATGTTTTTGTCCCATCGCTCCGGGACAGGGCATCACAATATGGTGTAGCGTCTGGACCACTCAAGCACACAATATATATTTTGTTAGCTAGATTTAACAAATACTCTGTAACACCCCAGGAAGCCGAACAGGCCCCTGGTTCCATGGTAACCCTGACACCCGATACATTTACTACCTCCTGGAATTTAGGTGAAGAAAATCGCTTCCTTGCCCATAGGGAAAATCCACAAGGGAAGGACTTTTCTTTGCTAATTAATTAATAGGAAAACCTTTCTTTGAATGAACACACATGATCCTTCAGGTCATTGGGTATATTATTGTCATCGTGTATTTTGTCTTTGAAATTGTATACTGTTAATAATGTACAGTATGTGGAAAATAATGTGTTTTTTGAACATTAAACCGCATAAACACATTTAATTACACCAAATACACAAAATAATGTTCTTTTTAGCAACATCATATGACCCCTTTAATAAATGGATGATATAGATAATTCAAAATATTTTAAAATGGATTTATTATTATCTCTTATAAGTTAGGGGTCAGTAAGATTTATTTTAAATGCATTAAATAAATAAAAATGACAATAAAAAGTACAAAATCCTGAAACAAAATGTATCACAGTTTCTGCCAAAAATATTGAGCAGCACAGCTGTTTTCCACATTTATAATAATAATAATAATAAGAAGAAGAAGAAATGTTTTTTTGTGCATCAAATCGACATAGTAGTATGATTTTTGAATGACCATGTGACACCAAAGATTGGAGTACTGGCTGCTGAAAATTCATATTTGCCAAAACAGAAATAAATTAAATTTTAAAATATATTAAAATAGAAAATAATTTTTCACAATGTTACTGTTTTTACTGTATTTCTGATCAAATAGATGCAGCCTCTGTGAAAAAAAGAGACTTCAAAAATGTATATATATATATATAAACGTTCAAATAACTATTTTGTAACCTTTAAATAATGTTGACATCATGAAAAGGAAATTGGATATTTAAACTTTTTTATAACCTAAACTTGTTATCAGGGATTTCTTTCCAAGTTGAGGGCTTGTCAGTTAAAGAATCTCACTGGAAGTTAATTGGCACTGACTGTAATAAATTCCAATTGTGATTGTAGACTGTACGATTATATATATATATATATATATATTTACAGACACCAAACTTAAAAAAAGTAGTGTCTATCACTAGTGGCAACATTAAAATGTATAACTATGTTTAATTTTGCAACATACTGTGATGGTATGTTGGTGATATGGTGGCCAGCAATGAGGACGGCAACAAATACCACAGCAACAACAGCTGCATTGATTTTACTGATGACTTCGTTAACGCTGAAGCATTAATGACGAGGTTAAGTAGTACCAGGTGTAATTGATGGGACGCGTTCTCTCATAGCAAGTCATGAATTACATCACAGTGCTATGATCAGAGTTCAAATGGCTAATTTAGCTTTTAATTGAAATCAGTGGAGTGTAGTCTACCCTAACAGCATTGAGCGCTCAGGGGCCCACAGGGCTGCCATTGAGTTTCCACACTTTATATCCTTAATCAGTTAAAGACGTCTCCCAGAATAGAATGCTTTTTACATTAAAGCAAATTACAAACAATGAACTAAACATTCATTGGCAGCAGCAGTGACTCAAAGATAAAGAGAAATGAATAGCTGCTAAACAAACTTAGCACTGTTGGTTTCGGACCAGCGACGTTGAATTGGTTTAGAAATTACTCGGTAGATCGGACTCAGTGTGTTCATGTGGAGGATCTCAAATCAGATTTTCTTGAAATATCTAAAGGGGTTCCCCAGGGTTCCATTTTGGGACCTATTTTGTTTTCTATTTATATAAATGATTTAAGTAAGGACATTCAAGCAAAAAAACATTTTTATGCTGATGATACTATTATTTATACACTTGCAACTATAACACAGGCAGTGAAAGAGCTTCAGACTGCTTTTCAGTCATTGGAAGGTGCTCTGGTGAGCTTAAAATTTGTTTTAAATGATCAGAAAACAAAGTTTATGGTTTTTTCAAAAGCTCAGTTACAAGTACTTGATAATCTTAGTATTTTTACATTTGATGGTAAAATTATTGAAAGAGTATCCTCTTACAAGTATTTAGACATTGGATTGATGATTAGCTTTTATTCAATGTACATATTGCTAATTTAATCAGGAAGTTCAAAGTGAAGCTTGGCTTTTATTTTAGAAATAAATATCATTTTACTTTTAATGCCAAAAAGAAACTTAAACTTAAACCTAACTGTGCTTGATTATGGTGATATAGTACAGGTGCATCTCAATAAATTAGAATGTCGTGGAAAAGTTCATTTTCTGTATACATGCATGCAGCCTCCTCCATCTTAAAGAGCCTTGATTCAGTGTACCATGCTTCATACGTTTTATTACAAATGCAAAATCCCGTCCTCATCATTGCAGTTTATGCGGCGCGATGCAACACAACGCGTAAAAAGTATAAGTCATTATAATCCGTAATTATGTCCCCACCCCACTGGATGCAACAAATGCCTCGTTTATAATGGGTTTTAATGTTTTTGTCTCGTTGCTTCAGGACACGGCATCACAGTAGGGTAAGGGGCGTAATATTTACGTCACACGCTTGAGGTATTTGGCCAATCACAATGCTCTGGATAGCTGACCAATCAGAGCACACCTCGTTTTTCAGACCGATGAGCTTTGTAAAAATCGACGCATTTCAGAAAGGTGGGGCATAGAGGAGAAACAATAATGTACAGTGTGTGGAAAATAATGTGTTTTTTTAACCTTAAACCACATAAACACATTTCATTACACCAAATACAGAAAATAATGTTCTTTTTAGCAACATCATATGACCCCTTTAATAAGAGTATATGCAGTATATATCTCTGGTTTTTACTACATAAATCCTGGGGTATCCTTTCAAGCAAGAAAGACAGGGGAGTAAAAGGCAAGTCTATATGCATAATTTTCATAATCTCAACCTTTACTCCTTGCCAAAATGTAGATATTTTCAGACATTCCCCAAAATAAATGTGTGTGCTCTCCTACCTTCCCCTGAAACTCTTTTATTGTTTTTAAACCTAGATTTCCAGGCCAATTCAAATGTGGAAATTGCATGGTATAAATCAAACATCAAGTGTATTTGGTAATCATCAAGTTTAACTGCAAGCAGGCAAAATATATAATTGCTGAATGTGCATAAGCCTGTTTGTATTGTGTCAGAGAAATGGTATAAATTTAGTGCGGATTAGAGATTGAGAGAGCGATGGCGGAAAAGAATAGAGGGCTATAGCTGCCTCTCGTCTCTATCGTTCAGTACCTGTCAGCCTGCGTTAGCGGTCGGAGCCTTCCAAGAAGGGCTCGCGTGAAACTGTCAGTGCATCCACTCCACCTCCGCGTTCTGTCTCTCCTCCTCCTTCTTCCTCCCCATCCGTCCCTCCCACCCTCATCTCTCTCTCTCTCTCCATCTCTGATGTGTTCTTACAGTGTAAGGCGCAGCCAGTGAGTGAAAGCCCAAGCACCCTCCCCAACACACACACACACACACACCCACCGCTTGTGTGAACGTAAACACGCATACACACACACACCACAGACGCGTGTGGTTGACCGCACCGGGCTCTCGGCTATGTGTGAAGACGCGCAGCACGCCAAAGAAGCAGCACTACTGAATCTGACGCTTGCTTTGTAGCAGGACCGCCAACCAGATCGCATCGAAAACCATCCTACTTTCTCTCTCTCTTTTTCCCCTCCCTCTCTTTTCAGTTGTACTTGTGTGAACAGAGCTGGAGAAAAGGAAATACCCTCCCCATCATCTCTCTTTCTCTCTCTCTCTCTCTCTCTCTCTCTCTCTCTCTCTTTCTGTCTGTCCTGTGGTGGGATAAACAGTGAAAAGATGAGCCTGTGATACAGCATCAGACCTGAGTGACCTGACAGCTCAAACTGTGAGTACACGAGCCTCGTACTTTCACTTCCACACCGGCACACACTCACGCCTACATGCAAACAGAATACAAACTCTTTAATTGTTGTATTTGAATAAAGACTGGTGTATTGTCAGCCACTGCTTTTTAACCTTTGCTAAAACTCTTTATTCTGTGCGCTTGACATCAGATTGGTTGTTTAGATTCGCACTGAATGATTGGTTTCATTTTGATGAAACAAATATCCTCCGGCGATAGCAGCGCTTCGTGAATTTAAGTGGCACTTAACGCGTCCAGAACTGCGTTTTCTCACATGCGTTATTCAAAAGTACACCTCGCTCTTTATTTATTCCTAAAACGGGGCACTTATCTGTTACGGTGTACCTCATTCTTGCTTTTATATGAGGAGGCAGGGAGTCAAAAATGAAAAGACATCATCTTAAAGAGTGTCATCCATATCTTCCTTTTAATTCAGATGGACAGTGTGTATGAAATGGTGATGTTGTTTACTTTGAATACTTTAGATTCTTTTTTGTTCCTTTTGAAAAGTATGTCTTGTATCTTTAGCCGTTTTAAGGATTCTTTGTCACTCATTTGTGTGGATTTAACAGCTAAACATAGAGAGGAATTTAAAATAATATTATATTGTGTTTTATTATATAATTCCTTTTGTTTAACTGTGCATTCTTTGTTTTATCATTTGGGTGTGCAGTGACACGCATTAGCCTTTACTGTGTGTTGCAGTGTAGATTTTGTTTTGTTTTGTGTGTTGTTGAGTGCTGGACGAGAAGAAAGTGTGAGGTTTGCCTCCTCTTCGGATGACCGGCCAGAGAGTGAGAGAGAAAGAGATACAGACAGTGAGACAGAGAACAGCGTGTCACATTCGACTTGCTTGTGACGGTTTGCTCAAGCAGTGTAGCATAGCTGACAACTAAAGCGAGAACACAGTGTTACCCTTAGCCTGTGAACAGCCTGGAAACAAAATGAAGCCTTTAAAATGGATTTTAGGAGTTTTTTGTTGTTGTTGTAGGAGTACATATGAGCTTGAATTCATTTTTTATTTTCTATATTTTTTCCTTTGGAAAATAGTGGATGTAGGCATATGCTAACCAATAGAGTGCATATATACTGTATATGATATGTTAACATGCTATTTTATTTGTAGATGGTTTTTAAAATATCTTTTTAAAATATAAAATGGAATGTAGAACTGTAAATGTATAGCTACTGTTCTGCAAATGACATCATAGGATAGACTGGAGAATAGTTTCGTATTGGCGGTTTACATACTGAGCTGTATTGGTAATAGCTAGTTACATTGCATTTCTCCACTACACAGCTAAACTTTGCACTTGAATAGTTTAGCATATTGTATATTCATAGTCAATGTTAAAGCCGTCTCTGTAGTCCTGCACATAATTTCATAGTCTACACAGACTTTAATATCATTTTTTTTAAAGGCACACGTTCTAATCTTATTTAGTGTTGATTGTCTGTTGTGTAGTGTGTTTATTCTTTACATTTCTATGTCATGCTGTTTTTGCGTTTCTCCACTACACAGCTAAACTTTGCACTTGAATAGTTTAGCATATTGTATATTCATAGTCAATGTTAAAGCCGTCTCTGTAGTCCTGCACATAATTTCATAGTCTACACAGACTTTAATATAATTTTTTTTAAAGGCACACGTTCTAATCTTATTTAGTGTTGATTGTCTGTTGTGTAGTGTGTTTATTCTTTACATTTCTATGTCATGCTGTTTTTGCACTGCCTGGATATTTGCTGTGATGCCTACTGTCTTACACATATGAGAGATCAAAGCCACCAAGAAATCCATTTCACATGCACATACAGATGGCATTTGCTTTGCTTTGCTTTGCTTGCCAGTAGATTTTTACTTTCAACATTTACAGCAATGTATAGGAAAAACATACTGTATATAGATTATGACATTTTCTTCCAAAAAAGAAATACAATAAAAAAACGTTTGTTTTTAGAAAAATAGGTTTGTAATTTTCAACAATTTAACATGTTTCCAATATATATTTGCAATATATAAGAAAAATATAGGTTTGAATGAGAATGCTCTTTCCACAAATAAATTAAATAACATGATTAACAAATTATTGGTCAATAAGAGAGTAAACACTAGGCTTGCCGCGTTAGACGGTGCTGACGGTGATACCGTTGTTAAGCCGCAACACCGGTTATGTCACTTGCCCACCGCGGCACCGACCCCTGCTGTCGTTTAGATTTTTTTATAGTAATAAAAATAATTTAGTTCAGTAAAAGAACAGACACTACAATTAAAAACTGAACGCGGCTGCTCAATGCAGCGTGCCGAACGACAGTCGCATCACAGATCAGATTTCATTTATCCAGTGAGGAGAGTGAGTCGAGCTGACTGACAAGAAGAGTGGGGTGAGACAGACAAGACAATCGCGGATGATTTAGTTTCGAAACGAAATGCAAAAGCGCCTGTTTGGCAATATTTTGGATTTTGAAAAACCTGTTGATTTTTGCCATTTATCTAAGGTGATTTTGGAAGTTTTTTTAAAAACATTTCTTTCTTATTTAATTGGTTTCACAGTGTTTGCTGATTTTTACTTTATTTAAACTTTCTGTAATTTATTTATTTTATTTGACATCAAGGTGTATGCCGTGCCTCCAAGATTTCTTATTCGTTTTGGTAATAAACTTTCTACATTTCTTATTTATTTGGTTATATATTATATGTAAGGCTGTGCAATTAATCACATGCGATTGTCATGCGCAAATGGAGCAGCATTTACTACACAGAGCTGTAGTTCACTGACAATTAGGCAATATCGAGTTCATTATCGCAGATTGAATCGCCTGCGATAATGAACGCGATATTGCCTAATTGTCAGTGAACTACGGCTCTGTGTAGTAAATGCCCCTCCATCTGAAAGCAGGTGATGGAGATTTAATACTAATCACGGGACCGGCTTTACTGACGAGATGCGCATGACAATCACATGCGATTAATTGCACAGCCCTATACATGTTTACTTATTTCCAATTTATTATAGGCTACCTATTTAAACTTTAAGTTATTTGTTATTTTATATTAGGCATAGACTGCCCTATAGCATGGTGTATTTTTATTCAAAAAATACACAATGCCATATGTCAAAATGTGCACGCCGCTTTTGCAAGCTATTTAAAAGTGAAGGAAAGCGAAGAAAAGAGGAAACGCCCCTGCCCCCACGGTGATACTGGTATTATCGGTGTTGTCACATGTCGATTAACCGGTGGGAAAATTTCCTCACCGTCAATACCCTAGTAAACACTGGGGAGGAGTTCTCTTAACTGTCCCGAAGCTGTATTGCCAGTGGCCCATTCTTATTTTTATGTCCTGATATTGCAATAAAGTACTTTACTACTACTGCACAACTACTATGACAATCTAATAGAAACCAACATCTTCTGGCAGTTAATCGAGCTCTCCACCTTTTTTCTCTCCTTTTCTCACTCTCCGGTGTGTATGCGCTTGTGTGATTTCACCATTAGGTTTGACTACTGTGCCGTTTCTCGATATGATGACAATTTCCTGCTGAGGTGCATGTCAAATGAATAGTATGAGATGTGTGAACGACATGGTCAGAAAGGTTCACAGCTTGTGAATGCAGATTTCATTCATCCATATGTTAGCAAAGAGCGTAGCACTAACATGAAATTAGCTTTTTACCAAGCTTCTTGATTTCAACGTAAAATTGGCATGTTACTTAACTCCATCCCAGCATGAGACTCTGGCTTTTTTGTGTTGAATGCTCCTGTCAGAATGAGCTACATAGAAGTTAGCATCTGTGTAGTAAATGCTTGTGATGTCTTTTAGGTGAACTCTTCCTGAGTTCTATAAAAAGCCATTGCACAGTCGGAAAAACAATCATCATTGTCAAAGTTTATATTGCAAGTATGAGGCTTCTTTGTCAATTCAAAAGCCAATGTGTAAAGGACATAAAGTAAGACTGTATCGCTTTACAGGGACCTATAACTTAATGCTCTTTACTTTTCAAATTGCTCTTACAGCCTTCAGTGAAAAGTGCATAAGAAGTGCTTGACAGGTAAATCATTTATATGCAATCAATAATGATATTATAGCAGTTGTGTATGACCATCTAAAATAAATTATGATAGTTTTATGCTAACAAAGAATGTCATAAATGGTGCCAAATCGAGTCCATTTTATCACGTTGGGGGACTGGACTGGCAGTTCTTATATATTTGGCAGTAAACCAGTTAAGTTGTCAGAAGAGTGACTCATAGTTACTAAAACTAAGTTAATTAAATATATTTTGTATTTATGTATTTATTTATTCTGTTTTTGCCAAGCTACACACACACACACACACACACACACACTATATATATATATGACCATTTATTCTCTAGAATGGCGTTTATCTGTCTGGGGTCCGCAAATAAGCATAGTCTCAGTGGGAAAAAAAATCAGAATTGAACAGAATGCTCATTGAAAAATCATGGCAAGCAATATATATATATATATATATATATATATATATATATATATATATATATATATATATATATTTTTTTTTTTTTTTTCCTTGAAAGATTTGTACATTATTGCAAAAAAATCAATTTCAGAGAAAATGAATGAGATTTTTTTTTTCAACCTGTTCAACAAACACCCTCAATATTGTATCAAAAAGCAGCTTTTTTCCTTTATGTGTGGGCATTTTCTGTGTGCTTTCTGTTTGCACTTTTTGTGTGCATATGACCAGGATTTAATCTGTCATATCCAATTTATTCAGTCTTTTCTATAACCTGTCTTCTGCTGTATGGTGATAAACAGGTGGTAAAAGGGCCATAGTGTCCCCATGGGAATGTAGGTTTAAGTCCAGACTGTCATGTCTTGATTGCACACCCTCTTTTTCCCCCTTTATTTTCCCGTCTGCCTTCACTACCATTCAGTATAGAAGGCACAAAAACATATATGTACATTCACGCTTATATATATTATGGTATATAATATC